ATATAATAAAACCATTTTTCTCAGTGTACGTATAGAATTAAAAAGAATAGTAAGTACGTCACGCTCGTTTCATTTAAAATTAAGCAATCGTTTCCTGCTAAAATTCAAAAGATTCGATTTTATTGGTGCTATTTTTTACTATTTGATATAAATTGATTTCTGATACAAATAGTCTTTTTTAATTGACACAATACCACAATTATTCGCGTCGTGATCAAATAAAGCACATTTTAAAAACAGAAATAACATTCACATATTAGTATTTCTCTTTTTTTATATTGAGTGTTAATATAATTGATAAGTGTAAAATTAATTTGACTCGTTCTGATATAGCCCGATTACTGTTGCGCGAAACGGCACTGCCAATAATCTGCACGATCGAGGAAAGTGCGTCGGATAATCGAATGACGTCAATTCTCTGTCTTATCATGCTTTTGATTTCCAGGCATTTGCCACGCTTTTTCGATAAAATTAACAATCTTTCGCGCACGTTTTCATGCTTCATCGGATTAAAAATTATGCCAATTATAATTCCGGATTCATATGCGAACAAGTTCACAAACTACTGTAGTCAAAGAATAGAAATTTTCTTCTAGCATTTACTGAAAACTTCAAAAAATGTTCAATCGCGCAAAAGAATTGTTTATACATATATTTGCATTCAGTTGAAATATTGAAAAACAAAAAGCTATGAATATAAATGTATCGTTGTTTTTTTTCCAATTGCTCGCGTTTCGCGATATAGAATGGCGAATTAAACTTGTGTATGGAGCAGCTTTCGGAGTGTATCAAGATGCAGCGACGCAAAAGTTATCACAAGCGCGAAACCTGCAATGTCACGCTGGCATGCGGCTCTCGTGCGTCCGAGAATCGTGCTGCTTGTAACCAGCACGACGACGACGATGACACTTTATACGAGCAAGCTTGTAACCGCGCGATGCGGCACATGCGCGTGCACTCGCCGTATGTAATGTGTACGAAAACAGCGGTAACGCGTGATGAATGTGCATATGGAAGAGGCCGAACCGCGCGAGGCGAGGTCGCGGTCTCGCATACACAGACGGCCGCGTATGTGTGTACAAAACTGTGGCGACAGCATGCGCACTTGCCCACGTATATACGCGTCTTCCATGCAAATCCCGAATACATGTGTGGCTTACAACCACCAGCGATATGTATAACCACGCTGAAATCATGGTATCTCTGCACGCGGAATTCTGATTATTGTACAAAATATGAGTTGTCGCGTTCTTCCTGATGAATCTTAGCGATAAAACTGACAAAGTCGATTCGAAATTATTTGTTTTGAATGTTGCTAAGTAAAGACGGGATATATTTCACAAATTATAGAAGCATAAATAGCTATGATATTATTGCATTCTTCTCGACATTTCGAAATAATGGCACGCCTTCTGATAGATGTTGCCAATCACAATGCGTTACTAATACGAATGCCATTAATGAACTAGTTCATTAAATATGACAAGTACTCGTGCAACGACGAAAATACACGCTCAAATGATAAAATCGAATATTGTAGAACTCTCTCCAAAGATGCAGAACGATTAAATTATTTATTTACATCGATGCTTCATAATTAGTGCAATAATTGACTCATAAAAAACAGAATGAACAAGGACGATACTAAATATATAACAATAAATTCAGAACTGTGATATCATTACTCTCTGGTATACTTTTGCTATGCGATGCTTTGATTTATAAAAAATTGACATATCTTCTAAACGTGACTCTAAAATTAACCCATAAACAAGCAATGGAGATAAGATTTCTCAATTCCATGATTCCGCTTGCATAATTGATGTCATCATTTTTAGATTCTTTTTACGCAAAACATGTCGTTTTAAATTTAGATCGCAGAACCGAAAGAAAAACTAAAAAATATATATGAAATATCTCATAAATATATACTAAAAAGTATTACAAGCAACGATGCAACAATTACAAGTATTATTTGTCGTATTCAAAAAATTTACGTCATTATTTCTCAGAGATTCCAAAGAAAACTAGATGGATAAGCCGCGAATATTTCGGTGTTTACTCACATCGTAATCCCCACTTCGCGGCGTTTTATCTTACGTGACGAAATGATCGCGATAAATCACGATCGCTGTATCGGAGACGAAGTATAATATCCTCTTCTCGTTCCCGGCGCCCGCTTTGCCTAATCAGGAAATTATATCTGACAGCTCGAATGAGCTAATCCGGCCATCGAGATACACTCGCGCTTCTCGGAAAAACAAATTAACAAAAAACGCCGCAGTGGCAAGCCGTCGATTTGCGTCATGCATGCTACGCAAGACAGAGTGAGGAAATGAGAGGAGGGGGGGGGGGAGGAAGAGTAAAAAAAGAGTGAAAAAAGAGAGAGAGAGATTGATGCAAGAGACTGCGCGACCCTGGACGTGACACGTGCTTTCGCATATGTAGAGCGATGAAATTCGGAGCGACCGATCCGCATTCGCTTAACGTAGCGCCTAATTATTTCTCCGTATACAGATACCGTACATTGTCATTAACGCTTTACGTCATCGTATATTCCTCTAATACATTATTTATTTATTCGTCACACAATTCCCCACGCGTTAATTTATCTCACAATTGTTAAGTGTATCGTGAAAATTGCAGGTGTTCATTACTGGACGTAAAAATTACTGACGTAAGAATTATTACTGCAGATGTTATATCAAAATGAGAGAACGGAAGAGACGTCCAAGACGTTGGATTACGTATTATGCATATTGTTAGATTATTGTAAAAAGAAAATAAAATAATAGAGAAGCGTGCGCAAGAGAAAAATTCATATCCTAGTAAGATATTGCGATAACGTAAAATAGTTAATTTAGACAGTGATTTATAACGTAATCTCTGTGACTTTGCATCTGATCATAGAATTTATCGTTTTTTTTTCTTATTTTTATGAGTAATGTTTATCACACATACCGACTTTCGTGTACAAATAGATAAACTGATCTAAGGCCTTAAATCCCTCTCGTGTCGCAAACAGGCGCGTAAACAAGGAACAAAAGCGGAATCAAGAAATAGTAGCAGACACGAAAGCGACGACAAACAGAAGGCGACATATTCGACGAGGATCGTCGCGCACGACAACACCGTTTATTTATTCAGCCTGAAAACTATCACGTGCGCACCTTAAAGCTTTTTCACACTGATCGGAAAAGATCAGAAAAATAAAAAACTAGAGGAATTTTTTTTTTTAGAATTCGATTTCTTAAATGTGTTTCGATGATGTCGTTATTATTTCTTTCGTTTAAATTTTAGCAAACAATTAAAATATTTTAAGTTAAGATTTCACTCACGCGTGTTGAATAAATTGAATGGTTTCCCTTTCATTAAAAAAAATAAAAACTAGCGGTCACCAATTATCTCTGTTAGAGACATCAACAAATATTGATAGGCTAATGAATTCCACAGAATAGATTCCAAGAAAGAACTTAAATCGGTTGTTTTTCATACATGTTATATCGCAATGAAAGAGCATCGATTCAACGATGGACGCTGAAAGTTACGATGCGGTTTACTTTAGATAAGATTACGAGCTCATTATTGTTTACATGTCATCGTGTAACTACACAACAAAGGTACGCGGGATCGTGACACCGTAATTCGTCCGTTCATGCGGTTATTAAGTGTAACTCGATATACCGTTACGCTCGCGTTCCAAAGGCCGGCTCAGACGACACTATCTTTATCTCATAAGTGAATGAATATCGTATTCATTATCAGGCAAAAGATTATGTTTCTATTAAAATTAAATATTTTGTAATATTTTGTTTATCTTTTTTCAGTTATTCGGATTACACAAACAGCGTGCTTAAAGTTACAGTGTGATCTTAATATTTTTTTTAATTTAGTAGCAATTTTTTTCTATTAAAATATCAATCTGTTGTTATCGAAATTTTCCAAACACAAATCTGTCGGGATATCTTTATTCGATTCTATCGGAAAAAAACCATCAATTATAGCCTGTAATTTGCAGATTAGCACTTGATCGAGATCTATCGGCTGTCGAACGAGCTTAAGTTTAACACTGCGCGCACTCAAGTTCTCGTCGAATGCTCAGTCGACTCTTCTCGTCGTTAATTTTTTTTTTTCTCTTCGAGTCGCCGGCCGCGACTAATTAAACTGCAAGAGCTAATCGCGGAGGCTGAAGAGGCACGAAACATTGCGCTGCACAGCAAAACACGTCGCCATCGCATCGCCGCGATGCTCTCACTCTCTCGCAGCCTCTTGCGTCTAACTCTGGCGTTTCGCAATGCGATAACACATCTGTGTGACGAACGCCTCCTTCGTAGGTTTCGCTGACCGCGATGTGCCGGCGCGGCGGACATCGCGGAGCCGTTGTAATAATCTAAGGCCGCGTGCACATCGACCAGCGATAAAATGATAAGTTCGACAACGGTGCAGCAATCAACTCATTAACTCTAAGCAGCGACATTTTTTTCATTTTTTGATAAAAGTTTCGAAATTTATTATTTACATAATTAACGCACAAAAAATGGTATATATCTTCCAGTTATCAAAAGTATGAAATATTTCAGGAAATATGAAAGAAATCTGCACTCATGAGATATAGCCGTAGTTGATGGAACCAAAATTTTGTTACAGCTGACAATCGAACGTACGAATGCAAGTTTTCCATGTTTCACATTTACATAGGCAAATAACTTCTGGATATTGAATCGATACTTTATACCGGATTTTTGTGTCAAATCAAAAGGATAGAGCGTTCTATTAAAATTCATTATTTAAAAATATAAATGTATAACTCTAGGACCTTGTGTTGCTCTATTCAATTGTCAGTCGCATAAAAGTCAAATTCAAACATATGTAATTCTATGAGTAAATCGGCACACAAGTATGTACGTGGCTTTATACGCTCGTTCGTTTCGTTTGACGTTTATTGAGAGCCTCTTCGCATATTGCAAGAGGAGAATAGAAGCGTAACTTTTTCTACTTACCTATTTGTCGTTGAAGCTGCACGCATTTAAGAAGTCGTCTCGAGCACTTCCCGGTAAGCGATAGATGAACAATTGACTACTACAAAACAAAAAGATACTTATTATACGATTTCTTATAATTAAAAAATATTCAATTGTAAATGTCATAACTTAATATTAACTGTTCTTGTGCGTTCAATAATTACATATAATCACATCTCCATGTCTATATTTGTATATTATGACAGTGCAATTTTGATCGAAAGTTTTCTCATTGGAGCTTTTAGAATGAAAAATGTAAAACATTAAAACTAAAAAAACTTAAACTTTTTGCAAACTTATGCATTTTTTAAAAAGAGGGGGAGAGAGAGAGAGGTTGCATTTCTTCCGATAATCATAACATAAATATAATTCTTATCTATTTCCAATTCTACAAATTTTAAAGCGACAAACACGCCTCGTTCGATGCATGAAATTAAGAATTTTTTCCAAAGAACGTGGAAACGATATTCCACCCACGCGACCAGATTGCATGCGTGCGAGATATTGGAAGCGAGAAAGAGAAAAAAGAAAGAAAGCGAACGGAAACAAGTGCGAGCAGTCCAAGCGAGCATACGAGATTCAACAAGTGCACCCGCAGCAGCGGGTGAGTCACCGAGAGAAATACAAGCGAAAGAATAAAATATTGGACGCGTGGGCATCTGCCTGGCCGAATCGGGATAAGGAAAAAAAAATGTGGGAGTGCGTGATTCAGCGCCTGCATAATTGAAAAATCAGAGTCTCGTGGCGTAAACAACTGAAAGGTAAATAGAGATATAGCTCGAGAACAAGCACTGATATCAAATGCATCGCGTCGTCCGACGTACACTTTATCGTCGCTCTATAAAAAAAAGGTGCTTTGCAGCACTCCAGCTAGCCAACAGCACGCAAGAGGTGATGATTAAATGACATCGAGACACAATATTTCGTTATCGTAAATGACAAAGATGCGTTGTCGTTGATAAAAAAAGGAACAAAGACATCCCTGTTATTATTTCTCATTGAAAATGAGTCTTTAAAAATATTCATAATCTTCTGAATCTTTGTGTGTGTTTTGTGCGCGCGCGCGCGCGCGCGCGCGTGTGTGTGTGTGTGTATGATACAAGTTAAAATGTATAACATGCGTTATCGCACATATTTTCTTATAGTCATAGATAATTAAAGAGAGATTAATTCGAACGACGTTTGTTTCGATATCGAGAGGTATCAATAGTTACAAAATAGGAAATTGAAAGATTTCAACGAATGTTTTATCAGTGCAAACAGATAAAACCTGATTTTTAGTTAGTTCTAAAACTGCAATATGGTTTCAAAATTGCATTCCGACGCAATGAAGTACCGTTAAGGCGGTCTTCGACGACGCTACATGACAATGCGTTTCTAGTTGCGATAGCGTTATATACACGGTGTGCTAAAATTACCGCACTTTCACCCATTTCTAATTTAGAATTTAAAAAGAATGATAATTGTTTCAGCGTAGCAATAAAATAAGATTCCTCCCTTGATACAAATTTTTATAAAAATAAATTAGGTATAAAAAGAAATAGGAAATTTTTAACTAAGTAAAATATTCTATAATTTGCAAAATATATTTTTCACTTTTATAAAATTATTTATAATTATATTTTATAATTATATTATATTAGTTAAATGTAAAAGAATATTATCAGCCCATTAAACAGCAATTCTGAATAAATTAAGTTCAAAACGCAGTTTTATTTTATCGCATTACCTATTAATTGATTTATTTCTACGTAACACTGTCTAGAAAAAACGCATCCTTCGAACGCTGCGCAAAACAACGGCTTTCTGTCGTTTCACAGGAATTCCCTGAGGACGCCGCCGAGACCGACAGGTGCGCGCAACCTCTTGCACGGGAAAGAGAAAGAAAAAGAGAAAGAAAGTGAAAATTCGTTACACCTGCATGTTGTTCCCTCCTTCCCGTCCCTCACCCGCTTCAAGGTTCTCACCGACACGAACGTGCTATGCTTAGGCTATACGATTTCGCCTAACGTTATGTGCCGACGTAAACGGTAGCAATATAACGCCCGTCGACGCTGCTGACGTAAGAACAAACGCTCAAGGAAACTCGTCTTATCTTAGCGTACGTCAGGAGGCCAGACACAACGTCGGCCCACGAGCACTTAATACGAACATTCCAGGGACAACGAGGATTCCGAGGATATTTCCATCCCGCGGTAAAAGCTCCACATTGTGCCATCTCACAGCATCTTTGCAATGTGTCACAGATCTATCAAATTGCAATGAACCCGTCAAACTGCACTTGAATGAAACTATCCATACGTCAGAATTATTAACCGTAATACGCGAGACGTTAAATCTAGAAAAAAGTTGAGTTTTGTATAATATTGCTTCGGAATAAATCATTCCGGACAATTGATTTTATTAGCTTATTAATAGCTGAGATAAAATCAATAGTGAAAGAAAGCATATGAAAACAACAGATAAATATCAACGAGTCAAATTTAACGCGAGAAATATGCTAAGAGATTTTCGATTGCTAATTACTTCTGCTCTTAAAACTCCAAGTTTCACTAAAATAAAATTGCAAACTTAGCTTCCTCTTGGAAGAATATGACTAAAGTGATTTCAATTTTAGTTATTCAATTTCCATAAAATCAAATTAAAGATTGATGCAAAAGCAATACTTCCTGCACAACAATATAAAATTAATCATTTAGCATTAAATTAAATATCCTAAAAATAATAATAACGTTCGTATTAATAATGATAATTATTATCAATACAATCTGTTATTATGTATTTCTTTCCCAAAAAGTTATGCCAAATATTTTGAGAATTCCTAACAATATTTGAAAGTAAAGTTTTCAATTAAAATATAAAAAAACCTTCTGCACTCATTATATTAATCACCGTTCGAGCGATAATTCATAAACTTCCATATTCTCTCGTTCGAAACAGTTCACTCGATATTCTACCATGGAAAAGTATTGCCGTTCGGGAGTATGAAGCAATCATGCGTGGCCGTATAATCGCCGGGAATATCGCCGTTACGTCGAACCATATAATTCTCGGTCGAAGTGAGAGGTCACGTGATAACCATTCGACGATCATGTACGTAACAATATTGTAACGAAATGATATTTCTATTTTTTCTAAGAACATAAAGTATATATCATATCACGCCCCCCTCCTCCATCCGCTTCTTCTTTATCAGTATATATTGACGCGTGACAGTCAAAATAAACGAAAATGATAATTACATTAAAACAATATCATCTTAGCGATATGTTTCGTATATGTATAGCTACAAAACGCCCTTGTCGCGGTATCGGAAATGCCGTGACACCAACGGCGACATTTCGATGAATCGGCATGGTCGATAAATCCAACCGGCGACGGCAACTTTTCCGCCAGCTCTGACCTCTTGTTGCACGTGCGTGCGATCTCGCTTTTGCGATCGGATTTCTGCTGCGCCTCGTTCGCGCTTGCTTCACAATATTACGTCGCGTCGTTATTTTCCACGTACACGTTATACCAAACATTTGATGAAACAATCCGTTTCGCAAATAAATCATTTGTTTACTATTCAAGCGAAGAAAATAGAGATCCATTCGACAGGATATATGCGACAATATAAAATATTCAAACATTATACAATATATATATATATATATATATATAAACATATATGAAAACGGGAATTTCAGTATTTAGCGTTATATAAATGTTCCAATAAACTAAAAAAAAAAAATGCCAAGACCATTGGATCTCGGGATGCACGTGTTTTTCAATGAAGCTCTTTTCTCCCTCCTCAGAAGGACGCATCTTTGTCATATTGCATCTGATAATAAAACGTCCTTTTTGCCGCAGCCCCCATGGCGCTCATAGAACGCTGCATTGCTTATCGAGGCGTTTATATCGAACGGATCCCTCTCGTCGAGCCGACGAGGCTGTTCGCCTGTTCTATTAAAGCGCTCTGGGAATGCCGTCCTTCCCCATCCGTGCGTGCGCGACCGACTGATCGCGATCGAGGCGTTAATGAAATCCTCGCGGCACGGTGACCTTAAGTAAAATGTCCTCGATCGCTATTACGCCTTTGACTTCCACTACAAACAGCGCCGAGCGCTCGTTCCTCCCGAGAGAAAAAAGAAAAAAAAGAGGCAAACTTCGATAACAAGAAGACTGCGTTTCCCGGAGCGTATTTTAAGGACAAGGCTGCAAATTCCGCAAAAATATATATCGCATAAAAATTGTAATATTACAAGAATTTCATACCTCTCGCGACATACATTTTTAAACGCGAATAATTGTTTCATATGAAAGTTTACTTTATTCCTTATGTTCGTTATATCTCGGCTGGTGGCAAAAGTGAAGTTTAGACGAAATATGATCATTCCTTTGTCGCGACACTTTTCAGCGCTTTCGTGCGATGACGCGTTCGCGCAATGTAGACGAATTCGACTCGACGCCACCGTGTCTTTTGCATGCAATCCACAGCAACATATCGTAAAAGGAGACAAAGGTAAAAAATTGTATAGACACGGACAAAGAAAAATCGTAAAATTAAAGTAAGGAAGAAGGCGACTTGCAGAAAAGCGTTATGCGGAATTCCACAGATACCCGGGTGTATATCTACTTTGTAAAAAAATAAAGGAAAACGTATGCCCTGCGGAGACGCAGGATCCTTCCGTTTCTTTCTGTCCCGAGCATTCTCTCCTTCGCTCGCTCTCATTCTCTCCTATGATACTAAAATACGGAGAAGGCACGACCGATCACTCTCATGCGTGGTGTGCGTGTGCATGACTGCCGCGTGACGAAGCGCATCGTAGTAGTGTGCTCCGTAAAGTATTCCACGTAGTAGCGTAAGAAAGGGACGGAGCAAGACGGAAACGCTTCAGGAGGAAGCAGGGAGAAGAAACCAATGGCTCGCCAACGGCGGAGTGCGGCAAAGCGAAACGTGGCGGTAGGGCCATTCGTGGAATGTCCCGCCGTCTCGGACGAACAACACAGTCCGACTCCTCCGGAACTCCGGCAGGGCGCAAGCAGAGAACAAGTCTGGGGTTTCTCGTGGGCCGACTGGTTGTTATTCGCTTGCCTGCTGCCTGTATGCCGGTTTGCCGTCGCTCGTTGTCCCGATTGTCCCACTCGGCTCGTCCTGTGTCGGTATATCAACCGATCGACCGATAATCAACAGTCGTATAAGGTTTTTCTTCCCTCTCATTGTTACTGCCATTCGCAAAATCCTCATTTCTGCACGTTTTCAGCAAAAATTCTCTCTCTATCTCTAGATCAAATTTCCTAAATTCTTTCCAAATATTAGTTCTTAAACAAAAATGATAAATTGTTAAATCGTGTGGTCTATGGACCGTGTCTGTCCATACCTGGATCTTATTTATATGATTCTTTATGTGAGGACACGTAGTTGAGACGTGAAATAGCCGAGGCGTGAATCACTGTCACCAAAAGTCGGAATACTCGTTGTCAGTGTATAGCAGGAATGTACGTGTCAGTTCAAATCCGTGTGGAGAAGACCGTGTGCAAAGTTAAATCACGCAAAGTTAGTCTACTGTACTATCATATGCCAGTTTGTACCATAATGCAGTAATACAGTGTTTCTCAAAATAAATTAACAATTAGACTTTAAATTCTCTATCGTGTGAATAACCAAAAGTTATTTGTGTGGCGAGATTCTTTAAACTATTAATATTAATTTGTCTGATAAAAAATAATGTGTGAATAGTTTGTGTATTATAAATAATCAGAAAGGGAAAGCTTTTTATGAAATTCAAGAATATCAATGGATAAAATTTGAGATATTAAACTGTAATAAACATTGAGCGAGAAGCGAACTAAAAATTTCGTTTGAAACAAATTTACTCTGAATTTATCTTGTTATTTTTACGTATTAATTTAAACTACTCACTGTTTTAAAAATAAATTCTATATCTCTTTTATTTGATCATCGGTGTATACGTTCTACGTGTTATAATCCCACGCATGCGAGAAAAATATATAACAAATAAAAAGATCGAAAGAAAAGAGCAAAAACTCTTGTACGTAAAAATGTTAAAATGTGAAAATATACCCGAAATAGATCATGCGATATAAAGTTTAATTTTCGAACGTATTTCATTTTTCCAAGTTAAATATGTATAACAAAATAAATAATAAAATACAAAATAAAAAAATAAATAAATAAAAAGTAAAAAAATATTAAAAAGTAACATTTGTTAAACTCGCCACACAAGCATATCAAAAAACATGTTCAAATTTATTTGGCTTTAAAGCTTTAATTCTCGTTCCTTTTTATAGATTTGAAAGTATTGCTTCTCTAAAAAATTCTGTATTCCATATATCCATATTTATTTGATCCTTTCTATAATTGCAGGTAGACAGGCCTCAATTGTTACGTATATTGGTACGTCACCAGATTGAGAACACCATGAATGAAGTTCGTTAAACGCCTTTCGCGAAAACGCGCCGGGCGAGAAAATGGTGAAATGTCTCACCCATGTGACCCGGTCGTATGCACGCGGCGAACATCGAACTGCGGCTGTAATAGCGTCCGCAACCACCACAATTTGTATTCTTTCACCTTAATTACCGGGATCGCGATAACAACCGTCCTCCTGGACGAATACACGTTGCCCGCTTCGTGCCAATTAGCCCGCCTTTGTTGTCACTCAATAATAATCACGTCGGCCGACCACATTCGAAAGGGCCGTTCGCATCCGTGCAATCCGCTGCACCCTAAGGACCGTCTCCGGCTGATTGACGCTCCAATAACGGCTCGATACATTCATACAAATTGTATTTGTACTACATTGTATTGGTATTTCGTTATCCTGTCACGCTCATTCAATGACGGGACACACTGCAGAATCAATTTGTAGAAAGCAAATGAATCATCAAATCCGCTTTTGGCAAAGTTTCAACAAAACAAATATGAAAAATAATTATTTTCTTTTCAAGAAAGTTGGCTATAGCTCTTCGGGAAGATAATCTTATGTTTTATGCATGCGTTTCGTGCATTCTTGCATACAAATATTTTCATTTCCACTAAACTGGCAAGCAATAAAGGCAGATAATACCCATAGAAAGTGGATGAAAAGCTAAAGCTAGCATTCCGCTTTAATTTCTTTCTATAATTTATTGTATAGAGATACATAAAATTAGCAACTTTATGTATTTACTATTATTTTAGTTGCGTTTGCTGGCTGACCAATTATCTCTTTATCTCTTAGTCCATTCTGGATTTACGCTAAATACACAAGCGTAAAAATATATTTAGTTTAATTTTACATCGGCGCTTGCTATCTTCTTGCTACGTTCAATTAACGAAAGTAAATTGTTGCATACACGGTGCAGTCGATATTGCGCAGTCGATCGCCCACGCTCACAAGTGCATGTGCGTGAGAATAACGACGGAGTTGCGTTTCAGATACGATCGATGAACGTTCGTAATATGTGGCATAGACTCTTTCATACCCGTGGAATCGTTAATTATACCATCGCCCGATTATCCTTGAGCGACAAATCGTCATAATTGTGCGGCGTATTAACAGCTAATTGCAAGAAAGATCGAACGAAAATCCGCAGATGGTATCGTCTAGTAACACGCTTGCGAACAATTTCATGACGCGAGTGCCGTTAGAACTCACTGACGAAGCAAAAATTGCATAGATACGCGATAGTGTCGTGCGATAATGTCATAAATTTAGTTAAACACGAACATAATCACGGAATATCAATCTTAAATTTTACATTGTATTCTGTGCCAGGTGCAAGTTATTTATATACGAAAGTTAAATTTTATAACGTTAACGATCAATGCTGGTGTGAAAAGAAACTTTTCTCAGCTAACGTCCTCACAAAGTCTCGTCGGATATAAGTATGCTTTGAATATTCTTCTAATATTACGACAAATCAAAAATGGAAACCCAATATTCAGGATTTTAGAAGTTTTATATTATTTTCATCTGTTCGGTTTATTTCTTCGAACGGAGACTTTTCGAGGTCAATTCCCTGAAGGCCGATCATCCTTCCGGGACTGGCAGACGCGTGAGAAAGTTGTATATATCTGCCAGATAACAGCGGGGTCTCCCCCCCCCCACCCCAGTGTAAGAGCCCTCGAGGTGGAATGATGAAACATAACCAAGACGACGAAGACGACGAAGACGACGAAGAAGATCTCGTCTCCTCTTCGCAATCCAGAATAGATAAGATAGATTATCACGCGAGATCCCTACCTCTTCGCGTTGTCTGGGGAACCTCTTCTCTATTTTCACAAATTTATTTATAGCGTTTTGTTTGGGTGCCGTGGCCAAAGACTGGATCTCAAAAAGTTCGCTATAATCCGCCGCCAGCATTGGCTGCCGACCTCGGAGCGGCGTTCAACGATGATTAAAATTGGAAATCAACCGCAGTCGCTAATCTCGGCGTTTGAATGGAGTTTCGAAGAGAGAAGGGGAGAGGGAAGGCGCTCTACAAACAGGTAACATTACACCGCAATGCGCGTTACGGAGAAACAGGTTGGGTTAGATCATGTGTGTGTGTGGTTGTGAATGTAGGCAAATCGAGAATTGTGAATTAATCGGGAAAGAAAAGTGTGCGCGACTCGAACCGCAGTTGATTTATTTCTCCTTCTTACACGGGAACGGACGTAACGCCTAATTTAGACG